AAACCAGGTTACGGTATTTTTTTTTCCTCTTTTTTTTTTTGCGGTTACCATAATGGTGGTCGAGTAGATCATGTTGTGCGGGGTGGAGAACCCTCACTCCGCGCAAGGGGGATGATCGCACCACGTTGTGTTAAAATGGTCAAGCACCCTCGAGGCAGTTACACAGTGCTTACAACTGTCTCTGGAAGTGAAAGCACCAGAAAATAAATTAAGTCATACGCAGCTGTCATCCGTACGCAAGGAAGTAAGCACAAGATGCCGAACACCCTTAGCAGGATGCAGCGCACCCTTCATGCGACTCGCCGAACACCTCACGGCGCTTCGCGCTTGGTGATGTGAGAGCCTGGTCCGGTGAGAACCCGGCGTGCTCCGTCCCGGCTTTGTAGGGATGCGAGGTCAATGGTCTAACGACTACGACATGCACTACTATGAGTGTTATTGTCAGATCTAACAATATCAACAAATGATGGGATGCCATCAGCACGCACACAAGGAAACTCCGGAAAGCACTCGCAGCGTCTGATGAACTTCTCGGGAAATACATCCATGTACGTCTTGTGAAATCATCCTTCACTATCATGATGGGGTAATGTTTACCCCTTACGGACGCAATGTCCTTCTGTCCTCCCGGGTCAACAATAACTCTACCCAACTTTTTGTCTGATCTGCATTGTGTTTCATGAGCAATCCCTTTCTTGAATGCCTTCGACATCGAACATCCGTACAAGCATGCATTGTACCGGTCAACGCGATACCTAATCGCTTTACAGTTTTACGAAGCAATCCCTCATGCAAGTGAGCATAAATGCTATGAAGCTCGTACATCCATCTTAGATTCATGCTTGGGGTTTGAAGGAGTGAGGGCAGCCAACACCGAACCAACAGAGATATTTTCTAGACGATAGGCAGTCGAAATGAGCATGCCATCGAAATTCTGAAAAAGTAACATGTCCATCGAAAGCAGCCATCACACCATCAGGACCACCACGGTAATTCCATGACGCACAATCGGACTCTGCGCTTGGAGAGAAGAGGTTGCATCCCAAGTTGGGAGAGTACAATACATTCTCCAACTCTGTGGAAAACTCGCCGTCAGCATTCACAAACACCAACTCCATGGTTCCAAGCAGTGCTCTGGCTCAAGGGTAGAAAGTGATTTTTCAACACTCGAAACGCGTTCCTGGGGGAACCTGCATGCCTAGCCATGGTTTTGAGAGACTTCTTCAAACAGTCGAACAAAATGCACCATGCTATCTCAGTCTGGCACAGCACACCCATGTTGTATCCCTTCTCTACCCAGGGGGTCAAATCGAATTCAATGCTTGCAATCGGAATCTCTACGTGTAGCTCAGACACAAAGCCTCATGACAGATTATTGTTGTTGCGGGCATTCAGTAGAAACAATTGTGACCATGACGGATACGACACGTCCGTCCCGTCAAAAAAGAAGCTTTGCGAACTTTGAAAGGACTCCTTGTCTACCCAAGTTTTCTCCATGTGTCAAAAATGCCGGCTCCAGTATGTGTTTCCACTGGCGACACGTCCTCATCACTCACTCGATGGAGTAGATGGGGGCGGAATGGAAGACTGGCTACCTAAAGCCCCGCTTGCCATTCCCGGAAAAGAAGACTGACTCCTCTGAGACTGACTCCACTGACCATTTCCGAACCGAAAGACTGGCTACCTAAAGCCCCAGTGGGAGTTTCAATCGAACGAAAGCTTGCAGCACTAGCAGAGAGACAATTAACAGCAGATGCATGAGGGTTCAAGCCTGAGTCTAGAAGACTTCTACTCCAAACTCTCACGCTGGACATGCCAAGGCCTTGGGCACTGCTGCCCGTACCTCCCGCAGTCCTGCCAGTAGCATCTGAGGGATGCCAACCGGCGTCGGTTCCGCCGCTGGCAGTACAACCAGCAGAGGAACGACATTCAACAAATAAATGCACGAAGGTTCAAGCCTGAGTCTGCAAGACTACTACTCCCACCCACATGCTGGACATGCCAAGGACTTGGGCACTGCTACCCGTACCTCCAGCAGTCCTGCCAGTGAGATCCGATTGATACGCACCAGCGTACTCTGTTCCGCCGCTTCCTGATCACCTCGTTGCCCAACAAGCGACTTGATTATGCTCGTGAGCTGGGACAACTGTGTCTCAATCGAATCCAGTCTCTCACCACCAATAACACCCTGCGAATGTCCCGGAGGTGGGTCATCCATATGATCCCCAAAAGGCCCACTCATCACGAAGCAAGGTGATCAATCTTTCTCCGTTCGGTCTTGACGTACAGTCCAAGGGGACAAGCAGCAGTCGACTGATGGCTGGCGCTATGGTCTAGCGTGTTGGTAAACTCGTGGCTTATGGGGAAAATATGTGATGATGAGACCTTGGTTCGGGAGACAGGTCAAAAGGTGAAGTGAGCGAGGGTGGGGCTAGCACCGCAGCACCGCAGCACCACCCATGTCGCTCGATCAACGCACAAAAGCAGAACACCATAATATATAATATCCGAACACAATGACTAGACTAAACAGGGGCTAACGTACTTCACAACATACCATGAATCCTTTGGCTGATGCACTACAGTGGGGGCCCCGGTTTAGCGACCCCAAGTGTCACGACGAAATATGGTCGCTATTCAGGGCATGTCGCTAAACCGGAACTCTCAATAGCATCTAGCGGTCGCTAAACCGGGAAACAGGGCCATTTCGTGGGACTAAAGAGGCCTTGTTGCAGAAATTTTGTTGATCGGGTTATGTATGCGTCGTATTGCAGCAGTCACATGAAGAAGGTAGGGGAAAGAAGTAACACCTTAGGTTGGACAACCGGTATTCATTCTAGTCAACCAGCATGCTTGTTGTACCCTCCGAAGTTTGTAGGGAATGTCTCAACAACAAGTGTGCAGATCGTGCCCTTTGTCTTTCGTGTTCGCGCATGCAGAATAATCTGTCCCTACGTGTACATAGATCAACACACAAACACACACATAGAAGTCCCATCTGCGAAATTTGAAAAAAACAAGGCGGAATAGGGGAAGACGTTATGGCATCGTCCCCCATAACACAATAATAAAACACCCCTGCATGGCACGGAGAGAGTTCGTGAACGCCCAAGTGGCAAAGACCCTCGCGCTGCTAGTGACTTCATTCTGCTTCTGTCGCGTGTTACCGATCATGTTTAACTCAGCATGTCTCTGATGTCCATCTGTCGCGCTAGTTTCGCGGAGTGTGCTTCGATGAACAGCATCATTGCCTTGCCCAAGATGGTACGCTGCCTCGCTTAGTCCACGACTCCTCACACTCTTGAAGCGATCCAAAATGCTGCGACAGCTCCAAGTAGGGCGGCGGCGCCATCACTTCACCACCCCCCGCACCGCCAACTTCTCCAGCCCCATCTACCTGCATTTCTCTTTTTCGTTCAGTGAATTCGAGACGGGTGGGGAAGCCTGCACGTTCTTAGATGCACACTCGTGGCAGGTGCGGTGCATCTCGATGCCATCGAGAACCTCCACCTCCCCACACATCAGGTGCAGGAGTACACCGAAGCTACCATGGCAAGCATGCCCCTGGGATGCCCGCAGTTCCACATCCGGCTGTTTGCGCAACTCTCCATCGGCGCACGGCATGTTGCGTGTGTGTACGTGTCCCACGGTCTTGTGTCGTTGTGTGTGGAGGAACGCGGGGTCTCCGCAAAAATTGAACCGGTGGTCGCCATTGCCCGCTGAAAACAGCCCAATAAGTCGCTATTGAGGGCTCGACCGGTTCAGCGACCATGTGGTGGCTAAACCGGGGTGCAGCGGTGTCACGAGATTTTGGGGTCGCCAAGCAGGGCATGTCGCTAAACAGGGGGTCGCTAAACTGGGGCCCCCACTGTATCCACAAAGAACACGCTCACGGCAATGCACCATCCACGAGGAACATTCCTACATAACGTTCCTCTCTGTTCTGATAATATGTGGCTACTCAGCGATCTGCAACGCCGACAGTCCCGCAATTCAAACTGTCCAATCAAGTTGTTCTACGTTACTCTGTCGACACACACAGCAGCAGCTATCACGAAAAAACACTAGCCCACCATGAGGGGACTTATACGCAGAGGCTAGAACCTGAAGAGGGGGAAATAACAATCCATCTGAGGCATCTACTCTAGACTCAAGGATACGGAGCCTCACAAACCTCTCCCCCACCTCTACGTGGATTTCAAAAGATCTACGCTTTCGGCTAGCAAAAGGGCAGAATTGAAGTAAGGGGAAACTGGGGCAAGCAGCGTGTAGGCTGACAGCGGCTATGAAAGCTTAGCAAAGAAGTACGGGAAAGGTGTAAAGAGGAACTCGGAGGCAGAGCTACGTAAGCAAGCAAAAAAAGAGAGACTGGAAAGTCGGGGGGTCTGTGGATTGCAAGAGGGTCACGAAAAACGACGGTGTGACTCCAGGATAGTCTCGAATACGCAAGAAAAGCACAAGAAAATGTCTACCGTAATACAAAAAGCAGGAGCAACAATGCTCAGAGACAGCGGCGCAGCGGGGGCGGGCTCGAAAGCAAGAGCCAGTGAGTACGGTGCTCCGCGCGCGGTCCAATAAAATGGGGGACGACAAACGGGCGTCGGTTGTCGAAGTGAAAATATAGAAAAAATAGAAAAATCGGGGGGTCTGGACAAGGTCAGAGATAGAGAGCACTCTCAAAAGCTCAAAACGCGGGCGTCGACAGTAGATATCATGAGCTAAGGGGGTCGACAGTAGAAGACACCAGCTGCGGGGGAGATACAATAATGCGTGATTGCAGAAGATCAAAGGGGTAGCGGGGAAACAGGCAGTATGGTCGAGCTCAAAACACAATAGCGCAGACGAAAACTTGCCACTCCAACAGACGGCTGTAAAAGCGAGGTGCTTGGGTGGCTACGCTGTCCAAAAATAACAATGCAATAGCGTCAGCTACGCAAGAAGTAACACACATAAAAAACAAATACAGAAAAACAAACACATAGAAGGTACAAACCAATGACAGGTTCGTTACCAGCCAGGGGCAGCTTGCACCGTGGGGGAAAGAGCCTGATATGGCGAGGGAATGCATCAAAAAAATAAAACAAGAACAGGCGGTTTCCGGTGACCAAGCAGGGTATGTTCACCGGGCAGTGGCAGAAGACGGCGCTGTTGTTGCTGAAGCGGGCGCTGTTGTGGCCTAAGTTGGGGCCCCTGTGGATTTGTCGACGTTCCTCCTGATGCCACATATAAAGGAGCGGTTTGCGATGTACCTGCAGACACCAGGAACCACAGACGGCGTGATGTTCGGAGCTGAAGTGACTGGGGGCGAGGGAGATCTTGATCGGCCCGGGGTCGTCGATGAAGCGGACGATGTAGAGGTCAGCAGTGGTGGTGTGCCGCCATGTTTTGCCAAACCACCAGAGCGCGTCTTTGGCTTTGTACCAGAAGTAGGCTCCGCCGGGTATGGCGGTGGCGCTCAAGCGGCGGATGTAGGTGTCGCGGGGGACGTAGGTGTGCCGGGTGAAGACCATGTTCTCCTTTGGCGCGGGAGAGTTCGCGAGCAGCGGCTCCCATGAGCATGTTTCGTTAACGACGGTTCTGTTGGCTGTGCTGATCCGGTGTGCCACACCAGTAGCGAAGGATGTGTGACGCGAGTGTTGAAGGTCGATTTCGCGTTCCCAGGAGGGTCGAAGCAGGTCATTGCAGTGTGTTTGGTAGAGAGCGGCGAGTACGCCGCCGCGTCCGCGGACAGTTCGGTGGCTGGTGATATGCTCGACTTCAAGGCGTTGAAGGGGCGTGGAGACGTCATCCTCGGTAACGTGGTACGGAGGGGATTTGTTGGTGTAATTGTTGAGGACGTATCTTGTGAGGCCAGCAGGCAGGAAGCGGGGTATGTCAGTGTCGTGGGCGTGGTGGCACGGCTTGCATCGTACTACGGAGACGCGGTTTTCGGCGCCGGGCATGTCGTTGGGCAGGTCTTAGTAACGGAGTTTGTCGGCGATCGGGCGCCCCTCTGGTGCTTTGTCGCTGGGTCCTACGGAACTAGTAATAAAGGGCCCAGTCCAGTTCAAGGAGAGCTTGGCTTCGAGAACCTGCGAGTCCGAGGCGGAGGCAGAGACGGTTGTGGAAGCTCCTTGGCGAATTGTCGATACCTGATTGTAGACCCAGACCCAGTGTCCTGTCTTGTAGATGGGTCGTCGGTGAAGTGCATCCGATAGTGACGCGTTCCTGCGCTCGATTTTGTCGACGTTGAGCGCGTGTTGCTCTTGAACAAGGTCGCACGAGCGACGTTGCTTGTCCACAGCGAGGTTGTGGTATTCCAGTTGATCCTTAGCCAGGTTTTGGTGTCCGCGAGAGTAGATATTGTCGACAACGGTCATGGGGAAGCGAGCACGTCGGCTGATGTGCACTTGGTTGGGTGCTAGCCCTGTGGCAGCGCTCACGGTGTTGTTGTAGGCGAATTCCACATGCGGGAGGTGTAGACCCCAGTCATCTTACCTCTCATTGACGGACACAGCTAGCATTTAAGCCATTGTGTGGTTGACGCGTTCCACGCCGCCGTTGCCGCAAAGGCGATAGGCGCTGGTGGTGATTTTGCGCCCGCGGAGAAGTTTGAAGATGGCGTCAGAACGTTGCGTGGTGAAGTGGAGACCATTGTCGGAAAAAAGGCTCACCGGACATCCCTAGAGTGGAATGTACTGGTTGACGAAAGATATTGGCGGTCCCTTCGGCCGTGTAGTTCGCAGGTGAGACTGCGTACATGTCGGCACGCCGGCTAACGCGGTTGGTGAAGAGAAAGATGTAGGCGTTGCCGCGTGGAGTAGTAGGGAGCGGTCCAAAATAGTCTACGCTAATGGCTACACCTGGCCCTGAGGGCACGGGGATGGTGAGGATGGGCCATCGTATAGTTTGTCGTGCTGATTTGCGGCCTTGGCACGTGAAGCATTGCCGAGTCCAGAAGCGGGCGCAAGCGCTCATGCCAACCCACCAGTAGAGTTGTTCTAGAAGGCTGATAGTTTTGGACGGTGCCAAGGTGGCACAGAGTGTTGGAGTGGCATTGAAGCATTATTACCCGAGGACGCATGTGTACTGGCACATAGATGCGCGTGGGTTCCTTGTCGAGAAGGTGAGCAGCTCTACCGCCAGGACGATCGTTGTCGGAGTTTGGCGGCTTGGTAAATTATCGAACCAAGAGCGGATCGCCGTCGTCATCGGTGATGATGCGACCTTTGGTGGCCAATTCCTTGATGTCGGTTAGGGAAGGATGCAAGTGTTCTGGGGTGTCGCCGTCGAAGCCTGTAGGCAATGAAGAATGTTGCCCAAGTTGCATGTAGCGAATAGCGGCGTTGCAAGTGACGTCCTTTTGTTGTTCCACCTGCCAGTCGCCGTGTGTGAGGCGCGCTACAGAGTCATGAAGGATATCTCTGCCGGCAGGAGGCTGGAAGTGACGAAGAAGCTGAAGTTGAGGGGGACCCTGTGGATGGTATGTCGGCAGATTCCGGCAGAGGTTCTGCGGGAGGATATGAGGGAGCAGTGTTTTTGGCGGATGGTACCGTGGGTACAAGTCCAGCAGCGGTCTGTGCAGGTGGCGTAGAAGGGGTTGTGTTTGGCCTGCGTGGAGGAGTAGCAGGTGCTGGTGCCGCAGTGGCGGAAATGCCTGGGCTGAAGCGGTAAGTTACTTGAGGCAGAGGATTCCCAGATGTTGCAGCTGCACGGCGTCGAGTGCGGGTGGATATTAAATCTGATTGATCCAAAGAACGCGGGCGCAACCGAGAAGGAGAAATAGTCCGCTGAAGTGCAGGTGCTTCCAGGATGTCTAACCTGGAGCGAGCTGCAGTTGCAGGGGGTATTCTCGAACTAGCAGGTTGTGCCGGAGGTTGAGCGACAGACTGTAGTGTGCTGGGACGGTGTTGAAGATCTGAGGACGGAGGGCGTGCTGTGGTAGGGTCCTTGCTTTGTTGTTCCAAATGTCGAGGCGAAGCCGATTGATACACTGCGTTGATGTCGCGCAACGCGGGAGAGTGGCGTGAGTGGAGACGTGAATTGTTGTTGGAGACTGACGGAGTAGCACGAGCTGCAAATATTCCGGAAGGAGCGTCGAGGTCGTCAATGCTCATTCGGAGCCCGTGCCGGCGAATATCCTGGAAATCCGCTGACGTCAGTGGGGAGCCACTCAAAGTGTCGGTGCCGTTGTTGGGTACTTAGCCCACCCAAGGCAATACCCTGTGGAGAAGGACCAGAAGGAGTGTTGCCGGTGGCGCCAATCATGTAGACATCTACATCATCTGGCATTGTGATTCGGCTATCTCCTGTGATGTCTTGTGGAGTGGGGGGCATGGGTAGTCTAGACAGCATGTCGACGTTGCTGTTGGAGGAGCCCGGGCGGTGTTTGAGCGTGTATTGATACGTTGTGAGGAACTCAAGCCAACGCTGCACGCTTGGGCTGTGGTCTCCCACCTTGGAGATGTTCTCCAGTGCCTGATTGCCGGTCCAAATTTGGAAGTGAGTGCCGCGCAAGTATCCACGCAAGCGTTTGATGGCCCAAACGATGGCGCCAGCTTCCAAGTCGAGTGGTGTCCAGTTGCGCTCAGCGTCAAGTGTCGATCTGCTGATGAAGACGATGGGGCGAACAGAGCCATCCGCTTGTTCTTGTTCTAGTATCGCGCCAAGACCATCGAGGCGTGCGTCGCAGTGGAGGCGGAGAGGTCTGGTGCCGTCTTCGATGGCTTTCCAGTTGGGGAAGACGAGAATGGGCGGTCCGGAGAATTTTGAGGATCTCTCGTACGATGCCTTCCATGTTGGCGGTGAAAAAGTGAAGGACGAGTTTTTCTTGACGAGTGTCGTGACGGGGCGTACTCGTTTAGACATTTTTTTGACGAAGCTGCGGTAGTAGCTCAAACCACAAAGAAGGGAGCGAAGTTTCTTGAGGTCGGTTGGCATTGGCATAGCTGCGAGTGCAGCGACTTTGTTGGCGTTGGGCCTGATGCCGTCCGGAGTAATGGTGTGTCCCAAGAATGCAGGGTGTGTCGTGCCGATGGTGACCTTGGGCGGTGAAAGCTTAAGCCTGTGCTTGCGCAGCCGTTGCAAGAAGGCGCGCATGGTGCGGACGTGATCCGCCGGTGTTTTGTCGTAGAGCACCACATTGTCGAGGTACTCGTCGACGCCTTCGAGGTTTTTGATGACCGCATTGATGACCTTCATCCACCAGCCTGAAGATTGGCTGGCATCCATTGGCATTTCCACTCGAAAGGGCGAGTCGGTGTGGCGAATGAAGCGAGCGGAATTGCGTCGGGGTGCACGGAAATTTGGTGGAAGGAGCCCGTGAAGTCGAAGAGCGACAAGATAGAGCCCTGGTACAGTTTGTTCATGATCTCATCCACACGAGGAACAGGTAGTTGACTGAAGCTGCTGGTGCTGTTAAGTTTCTGGTATTTGACGGTGATGCGAAACCCTGCATATTTTTTTGGAATAACGACGATGGGGCTGCAGTACGGAGAAGTAGAGTGCTGGATTGAACCTGCCGCGAGGTTTTTGTCCAAAATGGTGTCCACGTGTTTGGCGACCAGAGGGTTCATGCGGTAGGGCTTGGCTCGCATCGGTGGGGTGCCGTCCGGAATGTCGATTTTATGCGGTGGCAGGGGCAGCAGCCCAAGTCCGTCGGTGATGTGGAGCAGACGTCTCGGAAGTTGTGTAAGTTATCAGCGAGCTCATCTACGATAGCAGCCGTCCAGCCTTCGCCGTGTAGATTGAACGTGATGGCTCGCATGTGTGGTGGTAGGCGGTCCCAAAGAGATAGGACTTCTCTGTTGAGCGGCATGTAAGCGGTCCAGAAGCTCCTGTGGAGGAAGTGTCGGTGGAGACGGATTGTCGGAAGGGGGAGCGAAGCGCCGTGCAGGTCGCCCATTGTTGTCGGTAGATACGTTGCCGTTAAAGGGATCATCGCAGTGTGCCGCATCGGCAGAGTGTAATGGCCCTGGCACTTCGAAGTGCTCGGACGGTTGCTTGTCGCTAAATTGTTGAATAGTATCGATAGATACACGCATGAGAGGGGCGGCTGCTGTACCTAAAATGTCGCCCGGTTCAAGCTCTGCGCATCCTGCGGGAGGGCGAAATTGGCGGCCGTGAGAGACAAAGAGTTCGTCTGAAGGGGACAAACCTGGACAAGTGTCGACTAGGTAGTGTCCTTCCAGAGCAGGATATCCATTGGCGCGGACGAGGTTGACTTTCACCAATTGGTGATTTGACGAGAGAGAGATTCCAGATTTTCCAGCGTATTTGAGGTGGAATTTCCTAGATCAGCAGAGGGATCTGGAATGTAGGCGGAGGCGCCGCCGGCTTCGTGGTGAGAGAAAGTATATTATCCCAGCACGCGTTGGGTTGGAGAACGCGTAGGTAGCACGGTGTAGGTGCGGTTGGTGTAGCGCATGAAGCTGTCGCGTCATAGTAGAAGTGGCTGTCGTATGGTGTTAGCTGGAACTACATGAGCCCAGACGGCGAGTGAAGCAGTGATTTGGTCCTTGTGATAAAGTTGAACACTGAGACGTACCATTTGATTAGTGACGAGTGGATGCGACCTACCGAACCCTCCCCAAGAGCGAGTGTTGTTGGCGATGCAGTCTTGTGCTGCGCATCCTGTGGCTCGCATGGTGCCGAGAGCATTGCTGTTGATGAACGTGGCTGGAGAGCCGGAGTCCAGGAGAGCGCCGCAGCGGTAACCTGAAGTTGCGGAACCTGAGTGTATGCGCACTTTGGTGGATTGTGAAGCGTCGTCAACGGTTACAATACCGTCAACAAGACCTGGTCCATGTTCAGCAAGTAAGTTGGGTGATTGTCGACGTGGAAGTTGGCGGCCGCAATGTGGAGCATGTTGTCGTCGTAGTCGGAAGGAGCGTCAGAGGGCCACAGAGCGTTGACATCTGTTGTCTCTGGAGGTAACTCTGAAGTTGGATTGATTGATTGCTGAGTGTCGGTGTAGATCTCGTGAATGCCGTTATTGTCGAGTGCGGAGTCGGTGGGATCTTCCAGTGGCGACATCGGGAGTGGTGCACAGGAGCGAAGCAAGTCCAACCGATTGAAGTGCTTTACGTCACCAAGTAAGTTTTGGCCTGTCCAGTTGGAGGGGTTGGCGGCCTCGGGGTGATCGGCTCTCATGTCGATGCCCCACATATTGTCGAGAGAGCTGGCGTCGGCTAGAAGGCTGTCGCCGGTGTTGAGAGGATATTGACGCATCGCAGGATTTTGGGAGAATTTCTCGAAAGTGCCCGCAAGCACCATGTATTCGCTCACCTTTTCCCATTCCTGTTGCGTCAAACCACGCACTTATCGTCCGTAGCGCTTGTGCATGTGCATTGCCGGGTATGAAGAAAGCATATAATATGCTGTGAAGCATGTTTTTGTAGCCGAAGTGTCTGTCGTGCCTCGGATACTATGAAGAATTGTTCGGCACAGGAGTATTCCACTGCATCGACCAAAAATGTCGAGGGTGTCCATTGTGAAAAAGTGGAGGGCGGTTGCCAGAAAAGAATGACGTTATTATTGACGTACTCTCGTGTGCCATCAAAGGCAGTGTCGTGAGGCTGTCGGTGATTCCGAGAGCTCTGAGGAGAATGCCTGTATTGTCGTGGCTCAGTTGATGGCGCTGTCACAGGCGCTGAATCAAGTGGCGGACAGTCGGAGGTCCGCTGGCTCCGAGTGTTGTCATCACTTGGAGTAGACGTTCCTGGTAGTAGTCGATTGAGTCGAGCAGAAGCAGGTGGCTCTGGTCTAGTCCACCCTGACGGGGGGCGCGAGCTTCCCATTCTTTTAGCGGGCTTCCGTCCAAAGCGTCCTTCGGAGAGTGTGGGGTCAGCACCTTCGCGGGTACGGGTAGAACTCTGGGTTATTACAGTTGAACTAGCGGTAGCGGCGGCGTATTTTTCTGGAGGTCGCTGTAGACTACATCTTGTGAAGAGCTTGGTCCATGCACCGGTTCGAAAATTGTCGACAGTGTTACACTGCCGGTAAATATTTGGAGCCCACAGCAGTAGCCACTTGCTGAGGCCCCCAGACATCACTGGTATGTGGAGCATTGCCGGTCTGTTGCTGGTGACGCATGATGATGCCGAATGAGGTACTGGCGACCGTGCAGTGTACCCACGCCTCAAAGCCAGCGTCTCCTCAGGGGGGCTAATCCTTGGAGTGGCGGTTGACTGAGCAGGCGGGAGAGAACTGTAATCATACGTGGCGGTAGTGCGAGACGGAGCTGACCTCGAAGTGCCGCTGTTGCGAGAGCCGGTGGAGATACGGGTTGTCGGTGACGGTGAGGGTATTCACGGAGCAGAGGCGTGACTGGGGTGTGCTGCCCGAAGTGCAGGTGTGCCTGTGTCAGACGGCTGCAGTTCTCCCTGTTTGTTGTTGGCAGTACTAGCCTGTGCATTGCTAGCAGTGCGAGGATGGCGAGAGCCGATTGTAGTATCGGTTGTCGGCATTCGTTGTTTCATTGACGTGTCCGAAGTTGAATTGTCGTGTGCAGCGTGAAATGCATGTGTGCCGGAGGCAGACATGTGCAGTTCTCCCTGTGGTGTTGTCGGCGGCACGGGGACGGAGGGCGTACCCCCGTTGCGTAGTCATCCGCGTCCGTTTCTGTTGCCGGTGGCGTTGGAAGACTGATTGCCGTGAAATCCTGCGTCTTGAAAAATGACGGTATTGACGGATTGTGCCGAGGTAGCAGATTGGGTCGGTTGACAAACGGCGAGAGAGCCCTGTTGTTGGCCGTGAGGGGCATTGGCGTTGTTGTTGCCGCTGGAGTGGTTGTGGTTTCCATTGCCGTGGTTGTTGTTGTTGTTGCCATTGCCGTAGTTGTTGTGGTTGTTGTAGCCGCGACTGTTATTGCGCCGGTTGATGGTGCGACGGTTCGATTTTTGGCGGCTGGACTGTCTGTTGGGGCCGGTTTGGCCTGTGGCATCGCAACCGCTGAAGCCAGGTTTGGAATGTGTCGTCATTGTCGTTGAGGTGGCGTAGATCTCCGTTGAGAATGCCAGAACGGTTTGTGAATGGCTGATCACAATTGCGCATGGAGTGTGCCGTTGAATGGCAGTTGAAGCAAAGCCCTTGATTGCATGAAAGGCTTGTTCGCGTTCGTGTCGTGATACTAGTGGCGTCCAAAGTGATGGCAGTTTTCTGGATGTGAAACTCTCAGAAACCGGGAAGACCTTGTACCAGTGGTCATCGCTAGCTAAAGGCTACGCATTGTAGTAATGATCAAAAACATCCGAGTGCGAGTTGGATCGAACGTTCATGACTATTGGGTTGCGTGATGGGCCTGAGGCATACGATTGTTGTGACGAGGAGGAGTGGTTGCTCGACCTGTGCCCTTGTGATGGAGTAGAGAGTGAAACATTTCCAAATGCAGCAGACACAGCACCATGGCCTGGGCCGTTTACAGCTGCAGTCTTGTTTGACGAAAATTGTCGAAAGCCACCCACATGTCATCCAGTGTCGCATATGGCGAAACAGCATTTGCTGAGCTACCTGGAAAGCAGCTAGTCATCATACTAGGAAATTGTTCGTTGACTTTATTCCCCGTAAGTTCAATTTCCCAGCGTGTATCTGGTGCTAACAAACTGGAGCAGTTGGTGGCGTTGGATACAACTACTCTGTACTGCTGCAAGAAGTTGGCAAACGTCGTGCCGTTGGGCACTTTGTAGTCACTCAGCTGCGAGAACGTGGCGCCGCGGTCTTGTTCGCCAAATTGCCCTTCCATGAGCCGTAGCAGGAGCTTGAAGGCTTCGCCTCCGCTCATGCCTTGCTTGAGCTGAGTCTCTACCTGTGCAAGGAATCCGTTGATGACCGAGTAGAGATCAGCGAATTGGGGGGAAGTTGACGAAATGAAGTCGTTGAGCGCCCTCTGGATGGGGCGTTGCCAGCCCGGTACCCATGTGTCGGAATTGTCGAAGTTGACGAGGGAGTCAACCTGTAGCAGGATGTCGTGCATTGCTCTTTTGGTGGACTCCAAGAGTTGGCCTAACGCGTTGGTGCCAGCACGGCCTGCGGCAAACGGAAGCTGCGGCCTAATCTTTTCGACGTGTTTGAGGTCGATAGTGGCGTACTTAGCAGCGATGGGTCGGATTCGCGCTAGCTCTACCTTGGCGGCTGGTTCGTCGATGGCAATTTGGCGTTGTACTGTTATCGAGGAGGAGATGGGCAAGCCGTTGTGGTGCAACAGACCGCTATTGTGTTGTGCTACAGCAGCTAGAGGAGGAATGACTTGCCCTTTTTGTCGTTGCCGGTGCAGTGGGGGGTGCCGAAGTCGAAAATGGTCCTGGCGTATAGATGGCCCTGGCCCTCGAGAGGAACGAGTGCCCTGGAAGGGGAGTGTCCTCGCTCCTGAAGGTGTGGCTCGTCGTGTTGGTCGTCCTGAGGGTGTCTTTGGCGTCGTGGGTGTTGGACGTGGCGGAAGGAGGCTGAGAAGCCGGAGTAGCGACAATTTCCACGGGGGAAGGGAGTGACGGGGAAGGGCTGTAAGGGTGTCGGTTTCACTGTCGTACATTGACGGCTGTGCGGTGTCTGAGGAGGGCAAGGTGCTCTGCTGTCGAGCGGTGCGAGCAGCGTAACGCGCGGGCGTGCTGCTGTAGGCTGATGCGTGCATTGAGTTCATTAGTCGAGAGCTCAAAGCGAGAACGGTACATGAGATCACGCCGTTGTTGGGTTAGGGCGGGAGACTGCTGTTGTTGTGTTCACATCAAAAACCGTTCCGATCTCTCTCAACCCAGTACCTTCGTATGTCCGTACTGATCCAACACTCGACGCGGTTGATTCCCGTGGTCGCAGGCTAACTTACCCTAAAAGGGTACACTCAAATAAACTGGCCCCGAGGGGTCCGCGAGTCAATAGAAATCAACGACAGATATTCTGCAGTCCTCCATTCCCTCTGCGCGCTAGGCGAGGTAACAACTGAGACTAGGAGTCACCATCACGGGCCGGAGAGAAAGAGGTACACCCCCTTGATTCAATCTTGGTACTTCACAACGCAAGCAGAGACAAGGCCACCTGGCACAGAAAAAGAGGGAAAAAAAATAAAACAGAAAGAAAGGGAAGAAAATAAAAGGAAACAGCAATAAGGAAAGAGAAATTGAAATGAAAAAGAGCGAGGACAAAAAGGGACCAGGCCGAAAAGAACAACGAATAAGAGACAGAAAAAGGCACACGGTGGAGAGACCACTAACGAACAAGCAAACACGCAAACATGGCCACCAACCAGCGATACATTGTAATGGTACGTCATCACTATTGGGGGGTTGGTGCAACGGTGCAGCGTTGGGGGGGGGGAAATTGGCTAATAGAAATTCAATCCGGCACGTATCGCGCCACTCGGTCCGTCTCTCTCGTTTGCTTTTTTCCCTCGCCGTCTCGTCCGTCTCCTGCCCCCCTCCCGCCCCATTGGTTGTTGGCTTGTGGTCTCGTTTGAGCGCCCGTTGTCGGCTGGCCTCTTCTTCCTTCTCGTGCCAGGAGGTCATGAACCTCTCAGCTCCCTGCAGCACCGCCGCACGCCAGGGTACTCCCCCCTCTACCTTCGCGGCTTCCGTCCACTTTAACTTCGGTGCCGTGTTATTCGGTACCGGGATTCCGAGACAACATGGATCGGTTTTCGTAGATCCGTGGTCGGCCCCGAACGCCTTCAGGTCGTCGAGCACTCACTTCGGCCAGTTCTGTTCCTGTCCCCCCCTACGTCGCTTCTCTCCCCCCGCCAGTTCGCCGAAAATCAGTCGTTTCGGGAGTCGCCCGTCTGGCTGCCTTGCCAATGCTCCCGCGAACAGCGGGCGTCTTTGTCCGATCGTGGCTTCAACGCGCTGGCATCCGACCTTCTTCAGCGTCTGGGCGTAATAAGAGAGCTGCCGGTAGGTGTCTTTCTTGCGCTTGTACCTAATAAGTCGAAGGAGCAGTTGGTGGTGTATCGACCGCAGCGTCTGGTAGTGGCCGCTGAGTGGTGGCCATACCATGTAGCCGTATAGCAGTGCCTCCATAGCCTCCGCTTGGAGCAGGCGGATCTTGAGTCGGAATGGCGCTTCCTGTCTGTCGAAGAGCTCTCGGCCATATCGTCTGAGGCACGCCCACGTTCCTCTGCTCCTATAGTTGATCTCCCGGGTGTGGTCTCCATATTCGTTGACGAGGCCACCGAGGTACCGGAACTCGGTCGTCTGAGCGTTCTTCTGTCCCGCGGCTTCAATGGTCAGCGGTGGAGGCGGGGGGGGCTGTGATGTTTTAGTCGGCTTGTCCTTCGCGCGCATCAGGAGCGTCTCCGTCTTCTTCTCCGACACCGTCAGCCCGAACTCCCCGAACACCTCAACGATGATGGTCATCATTCTCGCCAGTTCTTCTGCAGACCTGGTGAAGAAGATGTTAAACAGCAGTGGGGATAGCACACATCCTTGTCGCACGCCCTGTGTCACGAATAACCAGTCCGATAGTTCTCCGTCGACCATGCGCAACCGGGCCCGCACTCCATCGTGGATTTGGCGGATGACTTTGATCAGCTTCGCGGGGATCCCGGCCCTGGCCAGCACCTTCCATTGCATCTCTCGGTCCACCGAATCATACGCCTTCTTCAAGTCGACGAAGCACATGTAGAGTGGTATTTTCTTTCTCCGCCCCAGCTCCTGGAGACAGCGCACGACGAACAGCATGTCGACGGTGGATCGCCCGGGTCGAAGTCCGCACTGTTCCTCCTGGAGGATGTTGCTGGCTTCGCAGAAGGCGCTTAGACGGTTGGTGATGATCTCTATAGGGACCTTGCCTACGTGAGATAGTAGCGAAATCCCCCTCTATTTAGTTGTTACAGTCGGACCGGTCACCCTTGTTGTACAGCACGTTGATGGTTGCATCCTTCCACTCTCGCGGAATATTTACTCCGTTCCATACCTTGACGAGGATGGTATGGAGGTGCCCCAGGACGAGGGGTTCGTCGTCATCGATATTGAGCAACTGGGCATGGAGCGAGTCATGGCCGGGTGCCTTCCAGTTCTTGAGGCCTTTCGTTGCCCGTGCCACCTCCTCGAGTTCTGGTACCTCTCCCAACCGTTTGAGTGTCACGTGTCGCTGGCCGCTGGGTCGCTCGTTCGATGATGTCTGGGTTCAGGGTAGGGGATTTGGTGTTGGGTACTGTACACAAATGTAGGTAGGAAGCGAATACAACCAAGAACGTTCAAGAAAAATATTTCCCGCCAATCTCAACTACGAATGAATGAAGCGGCTCCTCCGCCCCTTCATTATAGGGAAGTACGGCCTTTGTAATGTGGTGCCCCTTTCAGAATTCGAGGGATTCCGAGATCGGATGAACGTACGTCGTGTGCACCTTGACGGACCCACCAGAAAACGCACAATCGTTGGTTGGGTTTTCGTCCACCTTATGGGAGAAGACTAGTCTACATACTGCTGTTGTTGCCTTGTTTTCCATTGCAAATAAAGGTAACTTCATCACAGAAAGGCTAAGACACACACCTTCAAACACAGCAGTGTGTCTTCCAAACCGTTCCGATCTCTCTAACCAAAAGTAAGTACCTTCATCTATCTGTCGGTACTGATCGAAACACTTGGTCTTGCGATTCCTCTCGTGGTCACAGGCTACATTTACCTAAATAGCGTACACACTAAAAAAATATGGACACACCCGCGGGTACCGTTCAACAACGTGTTTCAGCGGCGGGGCAGTTGGTCGCAGCAGAAACAACAGTGTTTTACTGCTGCAATACACGGGAGATGGCGCACGAAAACTACAAAAACTAAAAAAATACCCTCTGGTGTTTACACCGTCCTGTGTAACCCTGGATGGTTGCAGTTGTACGAAAACATACACTGAAAAGTGTAGTGCACGTCTCACCACAAAAAATGGGGGGGCTGTCGCCACACAAATAAATATGCATAGGACGAAAGGACACACACACAACACCTTCTTTTGGTATGTGTGCTGTTTTCCACGCAAGAGGAAAGAGAATCGCAGGACGCATCTACACTCCTCCTCGTGCGCGCGGTGAACATTTATTTCTTTCTCGCCTCAACATGCCCAACACAGGCAGACAGGTGGTGGTGGTGGTGCAGACGGATAATGACAGCCGTTGGAAGGTAATGCTGGTACATACCCGACCTTCCAAGGAACCCTCTGTGTAACGATATTTACCCTACAAAATATCCGGGGGGGGGCGGGGGGGGGGTACTCGTAGTCGTGCATGCCGTACTGTAGTCGTTAGACGGTTGACCTCCTCGCGTCCCTACAAAGCCGGGACGGAGCACGCCGGGTTCTCACCGGACCAGGTTCTCACATCACCAAGCGCGAAGCACCGTGAGGTACTCGGCCAATCGCATGAAGGGTGCACTTCATCCTGCTAAGGGTGTTCGGCACCTTGTGCTTAAGTCCTTGCGGACGGATGACAGCTGCACATGACATAGTGCGTTTTGTGGTGCGTACACTTCCTGAGGCAGTTGTAAGCACCTTGCAACTGCCTTGAAGATGCTTGACCAATTTAACACAACGTGGTGCGATCATCCCTTTAATGCGGAGTGAGGGTTCTCGACTCCCTAGAAAAAACCAAAGGCAAAAAAAAGCGGTAACTTGGTTGCCGAGCTCACGAAGTCATCGGCTTGTTTTACAACGTCGTTGCCAAGCAACGACGAAAACCGAACCCCGATGGCGAACACTGAGGGTAGGGCTTGTTTTTCAACGTCGTTACCAAGGGACAAAACCGAACCCCGATTGCAAACACTGAGGGTAGGGCTTGTTTTACAACCTCGTTGCCAAGCGATGAAAACCCATCTCCGATGGGAAGCACCGGCGGGGGGGGGGGGGGGGGGGGGTACTCATAGTCGTGCATGCC